CAAAGGCTATATATGGTCTTAATCACAAGGTTACTTTGGTTGGTTCCCGGGTCCGCGAGCGAGAAGAGGCTAATCACTTTTTAAATAAATACCTAAAATAAAAAGCAAATGTCTGATAAAGAAAGAAATACTTTCTATTTAAGATATAATAAGTCTTTAGGCTACAAAAGATGGTACTGAGCTGGCAAGACAGGAAATGTGTGAAGGTAATCGTCATCTAAGGAGGACGGCAGCACGTGAGCGACGGTGTGGCGTTTGCGACAATACTGGCCATAATACGCGAACTTGTACCATAGAGATAGAAACCTCTGAGGAAGAGGAATTGTTACGGTATGCACAGACCTTCCTACATGACAAGCCAATACTTCCCAATAAAGGAAGGATTTGACCAGAGGATCCCTTTAAAGAGGCAACCTCTCGCTGTACCTATCTCTCTCTCTCTTGCTTTCCTCTCTAGTCTTGATATTCTTGTCAATAGAGTAATAGCTGCTTGCTGCAGGCCATGTCCCAGCTCCTCAGTATGCTCGCCGTGACAAGAATCCGATTGGTTGAATTGAATTGAATGTGTTGTGATTAAGTTATTTGATATAGCAGTTAGGAGGTTGATAAAAGTGTCGCGCTTGCTTGTGTGTCCCGCTCGCTTGTGACCTACGTTAATATTTATTATTTACATATTTAGGTCTGGTCTTCCTTAATTAACGTTTAAATATTTGTTTCTAAAGGCGATAGTTTATGAAGGTTCCTTTTTTAATTCGGTATTTTTTTCACGTTTTTAAGCTTTTGTTTCTTTCAAGCAGTTAAAAAACGTGCTGTTTTTCTAATTACAATAGTCATAAAGATTTTTTTAGCAGCAACGGTTTTTATTATTAGCGATAATAAGGTTATATAGGATTTTAATTTATCAAAGTTTGCAAGTTTATCTTACGGCGTTTTTAAAGCGACACTATTTTAATTAGAAAAAGAAGTAAAGATTAGTTTATTTTTATTTTTCAAAATGTTATAATTAAGAGTTTATAATATTTTTAATAAGATCATAAAATATTCAAATTTCCATAAAGCTAGCGCGATTAAAGCGATTTGGAATTAAAACAAAAGCGTTTTATAACTCGTAATAAACTTTATTTCTAAATATTTAGTAATAACGCTAAAAGCGTTAACGTACTATTAAAAACAAGAGATAAAGTTGACAAACGATATAATAACTTGTTTAAAACGTTTTGAAATTTTAATGTTTTAACTTATTACATTTATTATAATATAAGTCGGGTTTCAATATTAAATTAAGCTATTAAAGTTAGTTTATCTTTAAGCTAAACGCCGTTTATGTTAACGATTTCTTTGAAAAGGTTGGTTTAAAGGTTTATTATTATTAGATTAATTTTATTATAAATATAAATAAAAGCCTTTCTAAGAAAGTATTACAATATTTATACAATACAGTTAAAGATACTAAAAAAATTAAATTTTCGAACGTTACATAATATAGTATTCAGTGCTTTAATTGGTATTTTTTTAATATAAAAATTAAAGTTTTATATTCTGTGATAGTTTAGTTTTGAAAAGCTTTTAAAAATAATTTTATTAATATATACAAAGAAAGAAAAGAAATTATAAAGCTATTTAAAAGATAAAAATAGGTATATATAAGGGTTAACTTATATGCTGTAAGGTTATTAATTAATATTAAGATATAAGATGAAATTTAAATCTCTAAAAGAATTCACGCTGTGTTTAATACTTAGTTATTTATAGCTATATTTATATATTTAAAGCGTATATTTATATTTAAAGTTATATCTTTAAACGATAAGGTATTTATTTTTATTTTTATTTTATACGGTAGTATTTAAAGGTAGCGACTATTTATTATTAATTAATAAACGAACTTCGAGCGCTTAACTTTTTAAAGTATAATATTTAAATTAATAATAAATGTTGTTTACAAGTTAACGATACCTAGTTTTAAGTTATTAATCGAGGCTTTATTTAAACTATACAAGCTTAAATAATGTTGTGATTGATATGCTTAGTCTTATAATATTATAATAAAAGCTGTAATTAAGTTGCTAGATATAGTGAAATAAGTTAGCCGGCTAGCTTCATAATAACTTTACTAAGTGACGTAGACTATGGGATTTTTATATAGGACTATCTTATTAAAAACACTTACTTAATGTAGTTCGAGATCCGCTCAGCTTTCGTGTCTAACGTGACACATAGATGCGAAGATCAGCATGTCGTTTTTTACCTTGCAACTTTACGAGACCCACTTGGAGTCTGATAGGAATAGGCTGAAAAAGCCATACGGTTGAGATGGGGCCTCTTCAGCGGGAACCTGGCTCTATTAACTGGAGCCTGGAACGACATCTATTCTCTCTCGAATAAAGATGAGTCATCATCACAGCGGGCTCGGTTTTAGCCTTAGGTCGATATTCACCATGCCCGCCGCCTTCAGGGAAATTATGTCAAAGACGGCTTGAAAGGAGGGTGATGGAACCGGACCCCGAGACGATTTGGCTCAGTTCTGACCCGCTTGTGCTTGCTCCTTGCGCTCTGCGAGGAATTGAAGAAGGCATGCCTCAACGAGATCCTATCAAGGTAGTACTGAGGTTGATCATGCACGTGGGAATTCGCTCTTCCAAGCTGGGCACTAAGAGTCAGCATCCACGAGATGACGACACCGCGATCTGAAGGGATATACAGCGCTCATCATCTATATCCACTATGCCGATAGTGACCTCTCTGTGACAATCTTGGGCTAAGACAATGTCCAGATCAGACCTGACAGCCCTCACCATCCTATAACATATATCAGGAGTTTTGGCATGGAATTATCTCCGATCAACATACCCAGATATGATGGCGCGCAGTAACGGCTGGTCCGTAGTACGTTGTCAAACAGTCGTTTCCGTTGCTCTTTATTTGGCATCAACTCGAGTGCTCATGGGTCTAAAGCTGGCTGGGAAATGGGATCACTGGCTGTGGCGCCTGATGCTTGTCAGTCAAGGGCAACTTCGAGTTGGGCTTCCTGCACTGACAAACGGCCCCGTCCGCAGAATTAACCACAATATACTTACTCTCGGTCCGGACCGTCATGCTGGTTCCTGCGCCATATACGTTACTGGTCCAAGGACCACGGCGTATCGTACGACCAAGCCTTGCAAGTAAACCTGAGGAAGACATGATTGTCCAAAGGGCCAGGGGAAGGCGGTGGATGAAGAACGTTTGGGATGGAGGGCGCGATTGGTCAGAACTTGCTCTCCATCGAGGACAGACGGCTACTCAAATGCTAAGCTCGTTTACCAAGCTCATGGTTTGCAGATGTTCGATAGGGTTCTAGAGCCGTGCCGATCGTTACGATATAGATCATTCCTCGAGTTATGCCCAGCGACTCACCGTGACCTTGGCGCCAGGGAACCCGCCGTTAGGCCGCTTAAAATAAAACATCTTCTCGTGGGTTCTGAATAGTGCGAAATGCGTGATGAACTGTCTGTAATAAAATGCATAATCGGCATTTCCAGATGTAGAACACGTCCTTCCTGAGACTGTATCGATAGTCGGAAATAGGGGAACAAGGGGAGGCTGCATCGCAAGACCTTATGTAAGCAATGGGGCCTGACCTTGGTGTGGCCAGAGGTCTTGGGGGATGAGATGGCACGGGCTGACGCGCTTCTCCTTTTCAAAGACTCAATTTTGAATTGGCTTGATCCCAGCAAGGCATTCGAAGCCACGACATGAGCCACAGGCCCCTGTGTGGCTACCGGCTACCGCTGGCTTTCGCTTTCCGCAATATCGTATTCCATCTAATTTTCTTTTTATCCTGTTTTTGCGTTGCTGTCCTCCCAGGCATTGCTGATCTGATGTATGTTTGCAAGTATTATTATTAATAACGTGGAGGATGGCATGGATGGCATGGATGGCATCAATCAGTCATTTAAGGGGTAAAGTGCCTGGTTTTTCTACTCCCGCCTGCCTGCTCGATACAGGTACTGCCGGGCACTAACGCGCCAGCCACGCCCGCTAGAACACCACGCTTGCGCTAGGCCTGCAGCTCTAATCGTTGCTGGCCAATAGGGGGCTTGGGTCGTGCGGCCTAGGAACACTCCTGCAGGGGAGCTCAAGGAGCTGTGGTGTAAAAGGCCACCCGAACAGGGGGGACAGCCGTCGTTGTCGAACAGATGCAGATGGCCCTTTCTTCTGGCCTCTGACCTCAGAGGAGAGAATTCTGGGAATATTGTTGCTAGCGACACCCATGCTGATGTTGCCGGCCATCTTGTGAATAAAAGTTTCCTCCATCAAACCGACAACTAATGTAGTTAATTTGATCATCACCTTGCTCAGGATCATCCCGCGATCTGTGCTGGAAGTTTACTACAGTATCCCCTGCGACGGCTGGACGGTGGCACCAGCCCGATAACATCAGCAGCACCGACCAGCAAGTGTGCCCGTGGTGCATGCAGGCTGGCAGGTCACAGGTGGCGGTTATCAACTGGCCATCCACTGAGGTGCTAACAGCCGGCAAACGCTCTATCGCAACATTTTTTGACCTGTCCTTCAATTCACTTTTCCTCCCTCGTCGACCCGGTGCGACAACACATCGCGACACGACGCCGAATTCAATCTGCGCCCGGGCCCCCTCCTCGAATCTCGAAGAGAAAGAGAAATAATTCGAGAGGTTGTACTGAAGCTGAAGGGGGGAAAGCGACATCGCACTACCGGTATCTCGATCGACTCTAGATCCCAACCTCGACCCGGGAGACACCAACCTCAATGTTGTCAACCCCAGCCATCTCCAACCCCGAGCACCCACCACCACGACCGACCTGTCTCTGTCCGCTGCAGAACTCCTTTGCGACGACCATCTTTCCGTCTCTTCGGCCATCCTGACCTGTCACAACCATACCGTCGCCGCTCCCTGCACGTCGCTCACGCCGCCGCCCCCACGATAGTCCAACAGGTGTTTGCTGCGGTCCTTCCTGGCCGCCCGGCTTTGACTCGCCATGGCTTTCCTTTTCAAATCCAAAAACAAGGACAAGGACAAGGACCGGGCACTGCAGAGCCGAGAGGGTCCCCCAGGCTCGGGCAACTCAATCCAGAGTGCTGCAAGCCGCATAGCTCGGGAAGAGAAGCACTCGAGATCCACACCCACCGGAAGCCTGAATTCTCTAGAAGAAGGTACCCCAAGCCCGGATGTCGACAAGTTTGCTGCTCGCCGCGGCGCTCAGCAAGAATCGACGCAATTACAAACGCAGTCTCAGCAGCAGCAGCAACAATTACAACAACAACCGCCGCCGTCAAGTGACTTGCCTGTATGTTTGTCCCTGAGTTAGCTTTCCACTCTTGCTGCACTGTCGCACAACGCCCACCTGTCAACCAGCACTGACGATTCTGCTCCGTATAGTTTCGCAATGCCCCTCCGCCGCCCCAGAACATGAACGCGTCGCTATATCCGTGGTCGCAACGGCGGTTAAACTTCACTGCGTCCATACCGAGCCCCTTTCCCCGCTATGGCGCTGCTGTCAACTCGGTGTCGTCCAAAGAGGGCGACATCTATGTCATGGGTGGCTTAATCAATAGCTCGACGGTGAAGGGTGACTTATGGATGATTGAAGCTGGACAGAGTATGGCTTGCTATCCGCTTGCTACCACATCGGAGGGTCCCGGTCCTCGGGTTGGGCATGCCTCTCTTCTAGTCGGCAACGCCTTCATCGTGTACGGCGGAGATACCAAGATCGACGAGGCCGACGTACTGGACGAGACACTCTACCTGCTGAACACCTGTAAGTCCACGCCACGACACAGTCTGCCTCCCAGCGTCCAGGGAAATTAATTCTTAATTCTAGCGACGCGACAATGGTCTAGAGCCTTGCCGGCCGGTGCCCGGCCGTCGGGTCGCTATGGGCATTCCCTAAACATAATCGGTTCCAAGATATATATTTTCGGTGGTCAGGTGGAGGGCTACTTCATGAACGATCTTGCTTCATTCGATCTCAACCAACTTCAGATGCCCAATAACCGATGGGAGGTTCTCATTGACAACAACGAGCCAACTGGGCCGATGCAGGGCAAAATACCGCCCGCGAGGACTAACCATTCTATGATCACTTATAATGACAAGATGTACCTGTAAGTGCAGTTGCACCTTCACTCTTGACTGTCAGGCGCTCATCACTTGCAGGTTTGGCGGCACGAACGGCTTCCAGTGGTTTAACGACGTCTGGTGTTACGACCCCGCCCCCAATACGTGGACGCAACTTCCCTGCATTGGCTATATTCCAATACCACGGGAGGGACATGCTGCCGCATTGGTGGACGATGTCATGTACTCCTTTGGCGGTCGCACGGAAGAAGGCACAGACTTGGGAGACCTGGCCGCTTTCAGGATCTCGACTCGACGCTGGTATACTTTCCAGAATATGGGACCGACACCTTCTCCTCGCTCTGGTCACAGCATGACTGCTGTTGGCAAGTTAGTCGTAGTCGTTGGAGGCGAACCAAGCTCGGCTACTAACCAAGTGAACGACCTCTCTCTCATCTTCGTTCTTGATACTTCCAAAATCCGGTACCCAAATGATGCCCAGATTCAGTCCAATACCCAAAAGGTCCAGCAAGGCAGACGACCGAGTGGCGAATCAGCTCCAAGCGGACCCCCGAGTCGCGGCCCGCCTTCCCGTGAGAATTCCAGCGGACCGGACCCGAAGAGACTCGCTGGGGGGCCCAGCAGTCCCACAAGCGCGCCAAAGGGGGCCAGTGGATTTGACATGAGTGGACCGCCTCCTGTCAGTAATGGGATCTCCAAGCTTCCAAGGATAGCAGGACCATCGACACCTTCGGGTCCACCCCCTCAAGGCCAACCTCCTAGACCGACTGTCGATACAAGCGTCTCCAACCGACGAGTACGCAATGCTTCCCTTGACAGGATTGAAAAGGAAGTAACTGGGGTCGGAGTTTCGGGTGTAGTCAGTCGAACGCAATCCCCTATAGCTCGCGATGCCATCAAGGAAGTTAGCCCTGTCACGAACGGTCGACGGACCCCAAATCAGCAGGTTGCTCCGCAAGTCACTAGAAGCACTTCCAGAGGGGAGAATGCTCCGCAAGTCACTAGAAGCATTTCCAGAGGGGAGAATGCATCGCAAGTCGCTAGAAGCACTTCCAGAGGGGAGACTGCTACCGAAGCGCTCAAGTCCAAGACCTCAAGGCAGACTCGCGGTCAGAGCTCTGTCGACAGCAACACGGAGCCTACACTGAAGACTGTCGCCAACCGGCCGCCGTCTCCGCCCCCACCGACTCGGCAACCTAGTAATCCTTTGTCTCGAAGAGGTTCCAACAGAAACTCGCAGATGGTCGCTCTGCTCAAGGAGTTAGATTCTGCCCGTAATAGGAACGCTTGGTATGCTTCGGAGCTAGAACTTGCACGAAAGGCTGGCTATGCGTCAAACGCCACGCTTAGTCCGGGTCTCGAGAGTCGCAGCGACGAAACATTTGATGACGAGGACAAGCAACTCATCGAGGCACTCCTAGTTATGCGGCAAGAACTCGTCAATGTCCAGAGCTCGGTCGATAAGCAAGCTATTCTGGCTGCGAAGCAAATCGCCGAGTCGGAAAGACAACGCGATGCTGCCGTCCGGGAAGCTATCTTTGCTAAGGCCAAAACGGCAGCACACTCCGGTAGCGCAGCGAGTACACCATCGCTCGACAATGAACGCGGTGGAGACAGCCAGGACCGCTCTGCTGAGATGCACCGGAAACTAGCTTCGGCTCTTGGTCTTCAGAAGGAACTACAGACCAACCTTGCCCGCGTAGGGTCAGAGCTCGAAGCTGAGAGGCGCGCACGACAGCTCGCTGATGAGACTTCCAATGCTGCCCAGAAGCGGATGGCCGACCTAGAAGCTTACAAACAAGAGAACTCCTCCGAGATCGAACAGCTGCGGGCTGAGCTGCACTTGGCTCAACGTGATGCGCGAGAGCAGTCTATTGCCGCTGCCGAGGCAATTGCTGCTACATCGTTACTTCGCGTGGAGAAAGACGACTTCGAAGCTAAGTACAACGAAGCCAGTGGCAATTCCCGAGAGCATAGCGAGACCTTTGAGTCGCTGCGAAAAGCTGTGGCTGTCTCATCTGACATCAGAAATCATTTGGAACGCAAATTCGACGAAGAGCGGACTCAGCGCGAAATGGTCGAGTCCAAGATGACGAAGCTTAAGGCCGAACACGAAGCCCGCACTGCTGAGCTCGTAGCAGTGAGCCAGCGCTTGCGGGACACCGAGGAGATTGCCGAACGACACGCAGCTGAGGCTAATGCCCACCGTCAGGCCGTGCTTTCAGGGCTGGACAAGATTCAGAGTGATCCGGTCAAAGCGAACGGGGCTGATATGGAGCGCATGGGCGTCCTACAGGACCAAGTCAATGTAGCCAACAGCCTCGTCAGGAAATATCAGCAAGAAGCCGATGCTGTAGCCAACAAGCTGCGCAAGGCTGAAGAGCGCATTGCTGGATTGGAGGCCTACCAGGAGCAATCGAGCAGGGAGGGTGTCACGATTCGCCGACAACTGCAATCCGCTTTGAGAGACACTCAGTCCCTCCAGGCGATGAACAGCGACCTTAAGCACCAGCTTTCAAACCAGCAGCTCGAGGCGAATGCCATAATGGTGCAACATAACACGCTGAAGGATATCTTGAGCGAGAGAGGTATCAGCCCAAGCAACACATCTCGTGTACGTGGCAAGAGCGCAAGAACCGACTCACCCGACGTGTCTTCGGCTCGTACCAGTGAACTCGAGCAACAGCTTGCACGGTCTGTTGCTGCGCACGAGGAGACCAAGCAGGGGTTCAATGTGCAGCTACAGGAGACTGAGGAAGCATATCGTGTCAGAATAACGCAGCTCGAGCACGACTACCAATCGGCCGTCCATTATGTCAAGGGCACGGAGAAGATGCTCAAGAAGATGAAGGAAGAGCTAGCCAAGCACAAATCGGAGAACAGTCGATTAAAAAACGAAAACCTCGAGCTCGAGGAGCGCAGTCTGTCCCGCGAGGACTCGGCGGATTGGGCCGCCGAGCGTGAATCCCTGGAAGGTCAGATCGAGTCGCTTGAGCACCAGGTGCAATCTCTTTCCGCAGATCTGGACCGGCAGCTGTCTGGAGTACGAAAAGAGCTCGATTCTGCCAAGCACGAACGTGATTTCGCGGTGAGGTCCAGGGATGATGCCGTGCACCACATGACCGCTCGGGAGAGGGAGCTTGGGGAACTACAGCAAGAGAACGGCCTCCTCGAGAAGCGAGCCCAGGACGCGGAGCATAAAGTCAGCTTGCTGCTTGACCAAGTTGAAAGTTCTGTCGACAACTACCGGAGGCGTAGTCGCATGAGTTCCGACCATAATATCACTACTCCGAACATGAACGGTGTTGGTCACAATCGGCAGGAGAGCTCGGAGGCTGGAAGTCTCTACGGCGGCGGGATGCAAGATGCCAGAGCCGGGATGGGAGAGGCCAGAAACAGCATGGCGCTGGACAATTTGGCCAATGAACTCGATATGCTTCGATCCCACTGGGAAACAACTAACAAGAACTACCGATTGTCGAATACGTTTGACTTTGAGGGTAACACCAAGAGAGAAGACGATGGTGCTGCTCTTGGCCTAAGTGAGAGTTTAGCTGATTGGAGGAAGCGACTTGACACAGAAGAGCAAGGCAACAACTCCTATGCCACCAAAGGAAATCCTGGACCTTGAGTGTCCAGCAACCGAACCCCTTTTCAGTGTGACGAGAGCGTCACCCTCTTCTTCACCACATACACTCATATTGTCCTCAATAGCAGGACCCAAGGATACCCCTTGTATATTGGGCTGTGCAGCTGCATAACCAGTGTTCATTTGCAGCATTGCACATTTACTCCTTGCCGATTTTTGGCGGATCGTTCTATTCTATCGCTTAATACTGCTCTGAGCGACCATTTCGAGACGGCATGCTGATTTGATTCACCCTCGAATTTCACGACGTTCTCACCTTTTTTTGTTTTATTCTTTCCTGTTCGGGTTTAGGACGGAATCAAATGTGTACCCTCACGCTTTGTCGAGATGCGGCGGCATCTTTCCACCACGACCGGATGCGATGCTCTAGGGTGTTCACCGGGTTAGGGCGCCTGTCGTACGATATGCACATTTCGAGGTTCGACTTTTCCATGGGGGGAAGATGTGCCGATGGGGGGCTAAGTCTCTGGACTTTTCTGTCTTATGTTAATGTACAATCAGATGGGAGCACTACAATGTCTCAGCAATTCACTCGAGGAACGCTAAGGACCAATGATGGAAGAACCGTAATGGCCTTTTCACCTTCGCCCACATGTATCTCTCTGGCTTTGGGATGAAATGACATGAGTGGCGGGTGATGTAGTAGTACTTACGATGAGGAATGAACATGTCATAGCGAACCGTCTTCGGACCCGAGGCAGTGATACTGTGTGTTGTAGATTTCTGGTTGTGACTGAATACCGCATGCGGACAAGGAGCGTGCAGAGAAGAATACTACGCGAGTGCAATAAGATCAGGCAAGGCAAGTAACTATCAATCACTTTGGTTCGTCACACGGCCTTTACGCCTGGCGTGATTACCAGCGTCGCTCACGCCATTACGTGCCATAGTAAGGTGAGGTAGTCAAGGTAAGAAGGGCTGTAGTTATCGGGGATTTCTGGCCGCGGGCTGGTTTGTTGTCTCTGCTCGTGGGTAGATCATGGCTATCGTGCCTGTCAATCACACAACTGTAGCTGGATGTTACGATCATGGGGCGGAGAGGCATGATGACTGATGAGTCTGCCCCGCACGGGATCATCATCAAAGGATGATGGGCGTTGGTGTAGACGCGAGATAAAAGGGGGTATGATTGGTTTGGGGGCTGCTTGATTGATGACATTCGGGCCGGCGTTCGTGCTCTCCGTGGTGGTGTTTGTCTCTCGGTGTTCGTCTTTCCACGGGGTGGTTTCTACTTCGAAGTAATGAACTCGTCGATGTCCGGCTTGTTGGGCCTGGTCTAATATTGCTGTCTGGGCCCAGCAGTATGCATGTTGAGGTTGTCCCCCTCCTCATAAGTCTTAGTTGCTATGCTTGGCTGGGCGGATGAGGTTTGTACCGATGTATCGTGTACGGCTCGCCAGGAATTCAGTTCTTGGCTTGACTACCTCACACTCGTGTGTTTGCGCTGGTTCAGGTGCTCAGGAGTCCCTCGCCCTCAGGTTTAACAACAGCCCATTTCCCGGAACTGCCGAAGGCACGAAATAGGGGCAAGAGGTAAGCACGATAACCGCCTAATAAGTCAAACCTCGAGAAATGATAGAGACAAGACCTGTTCGAGTCTTCCTGGTAAGAAGTAGCTCTCCATAAGACGTAAACCCACCCTCATTCCCTCAGAATTGTCGATTTTCTGGCTTGCCCTCCTAACTTAATGGTGGTCTGCATGTCCCACCGCCGACATTTCGATAGGCGGGAACGGCGTAATACGTTCTACGTCCCAAGTGATGGGAAACACAACGCAGAATAGAAGGTCCGAGAGTCTCTTATCGTGGAGAAGCCTCCGCATCTACTCATTCATAATGAGTCAAACTAACCCACACGGGGCCACTCAACTTACTCTAGGTAAAGTTTCTTCAACCAGCCACATCGAAAAGCTTAAAACCAAGCCACCTTTTCCACCCATAACGGTACAGGATATATATACGAGTTTATCAGGTTCTTCTAGTAGCCGGGTTGGTACGGCCTAGCGAATAGCGGAGTATTCTTATTCTATACCTTTAGGCATAGCGGTTCGATTCCCCTAGCCCTAGCAGCTGAAACATTATCCTTTCTGTTTTTGGCCCTGCCCACCCGAATTCCCCCTTTTTCTTCGTATTGAGTCAAGCCACATACAGATATCGGGGATGGCAAATGTTAGCGTCTACATATACCAGGGGGCTCTGGGTCCGTATGTGATGGTATTGTGTACGCTATAGCATAATGGGAAGTGATCAGCTCTACAGTACTCTGAGATTTCGTCGATCACCAAGTATATTTTGCGCATATCTAGCAGGCGAAGTACGGACCCATCATATGGAGTCGCTAACATTTGCCATCCCCGACATCTGTAATGCAGCCAGTCGTCCTTGGAGACTTTAGCTTACGCTGGAGGATGGAGGCCCGAGGCGCGGACTCTTTCCATCATACTACGTACGCGAGGAAGAAAATGGGCGCTCAGTTCAAATCTCTGGACGATTTTTAATCTACAACGCGCTCTGCGAAGACAAAGTGAAGGGGTGAGGTAAAGAGTCGAAGAGGCTTCCTTCCCCCTTCCCAGGACCACCTACCCACGCTCGACATCACGAAGAGCTAGAGTGTCAAGGTCGAGAACCAGGATTGGCCGCTATATGCTATGCTATGCATTATGGCTATAGCTATACGACATGCCAACCAGTCGCTGTGATCAAAAACTGAGTAATTACTCAGTTCATATCTCAGCTATTCCCGTCGTCTGTTCGGGTCCAGAAGTAGCATGCCACAGGGCCAGTGACACGGTGGAAAGTGCAGAGCAGCAACCCACATCTATCTCCGCCACAAAGCCAAGTCATGTACAGGTCAACCCCTGAAATAAAGTATCGTAGGGCTGGTTACCGACAAGGCATTAGCATCGTATCTCTTGACATAATAAAACACGCCGACTTTTTGTTTTAATAAGAAAGAATCTGAATATTTTCTCGGTTGGGGGAGTGTCAATTCTTTTATACTGGTACTTGGCAAGGCCTCCTGTCGAGATTGGCCCCATGGTACATTATTTCAGGGGTCGACGTGTAGTCCAGTAAGCGCAGCATCCTCGGAATTCGGCAAACTAGAGGCTGCATAGAAACGGCACAACAGCGCGAGAGGCTGGAGCCGAACCACACCACACAGCCCACACCGCAGCATAGGTACTTATCCGCCAAGCCCACCTGCAGGGATCTACAATCTGAGACGCGGCCGAGACGTTGGGAGGGCGTGGTTCCTGTTCCAGACACACTCCAGAGGGGCTTACCGGCTGGCTCTGCTGTGCTATGCTATGTTGGAACTGGAAGGGGATGGAAGGAATGGAAGGAGATCGGATGGGAATGAGACCTGAAAATCTGGAAGAGGTCTGTGTGCGTGTGTGTGCGGGCAGTGATCATTGGACTTGGTTGGTTGCTGGGTTGGTGGGCTGGCTGCCTCTATCCTATGGTGGTTGGTTGAGTCGGGTGGGAGAGGCGGTCGAGGCTGCTGGCCCGACGAAGTAGGTAGGTAGTGGTCGGTGCTGGTTGACGGAGTCCTCTCAGCGAGGCCTGTTCCTCTACTTTCATTTCCCAACGGATTTCTCGTCGCTGCTATGAGTGATGGATCTCCACTCATGCCAGAACGTCCGCCAAAGCGAATAGCGCTCCGAGTCACCGTTGCAAGTCAAAAGTCCAGGAAATTCTTGCCATAGTGTGTCTTCTCATTCTTGTCCCTATCCCAGCTATATAGTTGTAGACAAAGCCCACTTTAAACCACGCGAAAAGAAATAAGATGAAAATACAACCAAAACCCTCTCTATATCATATGCAGGACGACGGCGACGACGAAGAGTGAGATAGAGGTTTTGGTGCCCACAAGATCATTAAATATAGTCAGTCGCCCTGCGCCCGCCCGCCATCCAGAGGTCATGTCCCGGGCCCTCTAGTTTGGAAGCCACACCAGCCGTGACCCAAAATGACCGTCCCGTCGTAAAACCACACACCGCGCACATACAACTAGAAACCAACAAGCGAACACACTCGCGACAACAACAGGAACAACGGCAACAAGAAACTGTGACATGACCGACCAAAAGGGAAAAGAAAACCATGCGCCATCCTAGCTCTATGAGGGTATTTCCAGGGGGTGCGCAGCTCCGAACTATCCTCCCCACAGCCCACAGCTATTAGGCCGCAGCTTGGCAGGCTTGTTGTTGGCTGGTGCAGTCGCTGGTCGAGAAACTGGCTCCCCCGGCATTCGCCGCATTGAAGCAGGCATTGTTTTGGATCTGTGGGAATGAACGTCAGTCTCGGCTACTCAGCAGACAGGGAGTGTGCGATTCTCTACTCACGTCGCACGCCCTCAGGTCGGCCGTTTGTTTGCTGGTGAAGGTGTTCCCTGTCGGACACCGCAGAGGTTAGCAAGTTGATCCTTCGCATACCGAGTGGGATTGCCTGTGCTGGCACGGCGCTCACCTGCAACCGAGAACGGCCTGTCACTGTCTCCCGAGTCGGTGACCTGCGGGAGGGCGCCGCCAAGGGATCCACTAGTTGCCTTTGCCTGCGAGGCGCTGTTAGCATTGTTGTTATTGCCATTATTGCTGTTATTCCCACTGTTGTTTCCACCATTGCCTATAGCTCCCTTAGAACCTGTCATGCGGATGTGTTGGGCCGAACTCGACTTACCACCATTGTTCTGGCCATTGTTGGCGGCAGCGCCACCAACAGTGAATCGGACGCAGTCATCCTGGGGACCACGTTGGGCGACGGGCATGAGGACGGGCTGGTGGTTGGCCGAGGAGGTCATGGTGCAGACACGGTAGTTACCAGCGGGCAGACCACCAGTAACGGTTGCGGAAAGCAGTCCCTTGCCGTTTCCGGCATCGTTGATACCCTTGAAGAAGGCGAATTGCTTAGCATCCAGAGGTTGCGTGGGGTTCAGGTCGTTGCCGGTATCCTGCACCGAGACGTGCGTATGGCCGATGATCTGGCCCTGGGCATTCAAGTCCTGCGGCGCTGAGTAGTAGGTGTTTTCGGCGTTGGTGAAGGTACCGGGAGCGAAGTTGGCGACCTGCACTTGGATGTCGAAGTCTTGGTTGGCGGCGACATTGTCGTTGTTTTGCGGGTTGACCAGGACACTCGACACCATGTTCTCGGTGGAAGGAATGTTACCCATGGCTGAATTCGAGTCAGTACTCATCACGGCCCAGCAAGCCGACAGATATGTACGTACGGATACCGTTACATGATCCTCCCTGTTGTTGCAGACCGTTTGTGAGGATCAGGCCGGAACAGAAGTTGATGAAGTTGGCGTTGTCACTGGGTGCTGTCAGTTACCATCCATGACTGAGTTGGGATGCCATTGCTCACGTTTTGGATGCTGATTCGCCAGCAGTCGTGTTAGGGTTACCATTTGATGCAGAGCCGGTTTGAAGAGCATTCGAATCCAGGGTGAGTGATGCAGCAGCAGCATTGCCGCCGTTGTCTATCATCATGTGTTAGAGCGCTACATGCTCACGAGCAGGAAGAGCGCGGAATAGACTGACTGTTGTTGCCGCCACTGTTTTGGGCTTGGTCTGGGACATATATTGTCAGCACGCAATTGCTGATCATCACGAAGCCGCAGCCATCAGCCACTCACTGTTTCCCTGGTTGCCTCCCTGGTTGCCTCCCTTGTTGCCTTTGCCGAACTGACGAGGCTGGAGACCCTGGAGAGATCGCACGGCGCGTCGGCTCATGATGTGGTCAAAGGGTCGGTGGATGGCAGAAGCCTCGGCGACAGCCACGAGGCTGACAAGGCCGATGAGAAGGTTCTTGGTGAGCATGATTACTGATTTGGACTGGGTATCGGTCGGGTAGGTAGGTCGTCAAGGCGAGAATTGAATGTGATACGTTGCAAAAAAGGTTCCAGACCGATTTCGAATAGTTGAAAGGAATGTGTCACAGACGATGCAGTGAAGTGAAGTGGGCTGTCGAAAGAAGGAACGAATGAATTATAAGACACACTACCAGCGCGAAGATGGAAAAGAATGAGAAAACTCGACGGAGACTCTGGAATATGAAGAGAGGCTTGTAGAGAAGAGGAGACAAGACAAAACAGAGAGCCAAGACTTTTGACTTATATAACCGTCAGAGACAGGGACCCCGGGCTTCTCGGACGGCTGGTGCGTGAGAAATGGGAGGAAGCAGAATGTTCCGCAACGGGCACTACATCATGATCCCTTGTCTGAGCCATGGACACAGGAGCCGTATCCACAGTCTCAAAACACTAACACCGACGAAGGGGGGAGGGAAGGCTCAGAAGAGATGATGTTGAGCATGGGACCCGGGCATGGGTGAAAGGTGGAAGCAGGAGGCGACATGGGGTGGGTAGACGGGTAGGACGGGAAGAATATCTTGAGGCTCGAGCTGCCTTGGCCTACCAGCCTGCACTCCTGTACCTCACCCCAGTTGCATCAGAGTCGACATGGGCAGACAAAGCTTAAACGACCCCTGTTCAGCATATGTCGGGGTCGTGACGGCAGCTGGACGGCTGCCATTGGATCCCTCGGAGTGCAGGAGGCCGGGCCAGCTTTGGGCTGGCCTGGTTATTCAGATGGTGGCAGGTATCCTGTATATTCTGTGCTCCTGCAGGGACGCCACTTGATACGGACCCGTACCAACATATCTACACCGGATATGATATCGAGTGTACATGTATGTGATAGAGCTATGTACGTGTGAGTGCGCTCGTATCGCTTGACCCGGCCAGGGACGGTATGTATGATGGGTATCGCAGCGGAGCTGGACAGAGCACATACTCAGTGCAGGTCGAGGGCTGTACCATGCCTTCAGCCACGTCGTTGGCCGTCGATTGCAGTGGTGACAGAGCGCGTACGTGGAAACGCCACGGGGTCAGCTGTATGGAAGAGTATCGCGTTCGAAGGGGGATGACAGTAGCCGACGTCAGAGGTTCAAGCCTGACGTGCGATACCTGGTCATAGCCTCGACACACATACCTCACTGACAGGCCATGGTGACATCGTGGATGACATCCAGCAGTGCGCACTACTGTAAACGTCCGAACATGTCGACTCTGGCAGAGGCGAGAGAGAGTTGATAGTAGAGGGCGGGGCACGGGGCACGGGTATAGGGCAGGGTTCAGGCAGGGGGGTTCGGATGCTTCATCGGGTCGCTGGGCTTGCGGCTCAGCACGTCGCAAGTGCAACTGGACCCCCTGTGACACCCCTGTGAGCACCCACTATCAGCCAGATCGCCCAATTAGAGGCCGGCGTTGTTCGGAAGATCAGGCACAAGCAGTCTCGACCCCAGGCCACTTCTGAGGCGAAACGGCTTGGTCGCTTAAGCGCGCATCTGAGCGCATCCATCAATTCTACATTCTACATTCTACATTCTACATTTCATATTCTACACAGTCTGCCTTTACCCCAGATGCCCACATCCACGCCCCGAGGACGCTGCAGTCCACTGGCTTGGCGCTCTAGCGATCTCTGATGGTTGATTCTCATTGTCCAGGACTCTATCACAAGGATCTACCTATCAAGGCGGAGCCGGTCTCTGGGAAGCTCAGCAGCCGGTCAGAGGCTGGGCGCTGTCCCGCCTCTGCCATCCAATACCTTACCAGCCAGCACCAGGCGCCTGGCTGTCGCGCCTCGCGGATCTGTCATGTCACGTAGGCAAGATTGTAGACACAGGTCTACATCGTCTCAAGTGAGCGCCGTGAAGCCGCGCATTGCCCGCCGACGATAGAGGCCTACCCTCAAGATTTGTCAACGTCTCTGCTTGGCAACCTGGGGTTGGAGCCATGTTTGGACAACGAGGGAAACACTCGCCTCTATCGTCTGAAATATCCGGCTTATGATCGCCTGCGCCTGCGTGTATCGTCATTGTCCAAACATCGGATCTGCACTCCCTTGCCCTTCTAGGTCCGCAGTTGGCTCGTTTAAACAAGCTTAAACGCGCTGTGGACGCCGTGGATGCTTTGGAATCATCCATGGGGGCCATCACTGACCGGAGATGCGCCGGTATGATGGCGACAAGAGCAGAATTCTCAAACCCGTCAATCGTTTGGGGTGCCCATGAGCCTTGCACCTGGAACCCACTTCGACGTCGATGAGACGTCGTGGCTGCAGAAACAAGATGCAAGGTACCCCCGTCACAGATCGGGTTGTCACGCACGCGCTCACGAAAGCCACTCTGCGAGTCTGCGCTTACCGACTTCCATCTCATAAAGTTGGGGTTGCTGACAGGGACCCAGTGCCTAGTCTACAAGGCAAACGAAGAATGTCCAGCAGTCCTCTTTGTGATTGCAACCGGCCCTCGTTTGACACTACCGGTGGACCATGGACCCCCGGAGACAGACAGCTTTCATCTGAAGTCTCACGCGGCCGCATACTACCATGCCAGCATCTGGTGGCCGTGCGTTAACCTCGACCTTGGAACCTCCCCCTCGTTGAGTGTGAAATCCAAGTATCAAAAAGCGATTAGAGGAGGATCGTGAACCTTGCTGAGTAGACTACCCCTACCTCCCTCCGTGATAGGAAATGGCCCCTTGCAATTCACTCCGGAAGACTCAAAGCTGAGCGTCCGAGACAGGTCAAGTGTTCTCCTTCTCAGCCTCTCTCCCCTCGGCTTTGCCATGGAAATATGCTGTCGGCAATCTCATCCGAGTATATTGCTCGCCTACCTTTCAATCAGCCAGGGTCTTGATGCAGAGGTCTGCGCTATGGCCGAATAAGTCAAGCAATCCTACCTTACCACCATACCAACCAACTCGCCAAAAACCACATTGAGGTCTGAAACTCGACTGCCAATTTACATCCCACCACACCGCAGTTGCTTCCTTCAGCCTCCCGACCCATGCGAGCAACATCTAGGCTACCACTTGCAGGCCTTGCCGATTCTTTGATCTGACCCTGGTCCCTCGCAGCGAGGAGCAGGCACTGTCTATCACGACCAAAGCTCGGGCTTCTCAGAAATGTTCTCGATGCGTGATGGGATGAAGTCCGTCGTGTTTGAGGCCAAGTGTTTCGCCAAGGGATGATATTTGGCGTCAGTGCGCAATACGAACATATCCTTCGGTTCTGTCAGCCGGGCCGGTCCCAACGCGGAGGATTCTTGTTTCCGGGACACCTATCAAACTCGGGATTGTTTCTCAGCTGCAAAATCACGGCGAGAAACTACGACGACCAAAAGCGATCGAATGAGAGCCTCTTCGCTCTTGTGCTCTATGAACCCACCCTTTGAAGTCATCCACATCAGCAGTGTTCGGCCGCAGAGGTACCGCTGTGTCTTTGGATGATCACATCCTTCAGGGCTTAAGCCCTTCCCCATTGATCGCAAGTATTCGAGCCAGACAGTCTCGGAGACGGCAGTGTTGAACCTCTGGACCAATCTTGGTCGGCGACTTTGAAGCACGTCCCAGGACTGCGACTGTGAAACTTGACACCCCCTGGTGCCAGATCGAGGTAGTCACGTGCCGGCGTGCTGTCCACGTCCAGCTGATGAGAACCTTCTCAAAGCACACCTCGACATCGCTAGTTAGTACCTGCGGACGAACCGATCAACCATGCTTGTTGGCAAAAATCGAGTCTCCCGGCCTCCCACCTCACATGACATGACAGAACGAACTAACGAGCCAACAGGACCAAGTGAAATTCTCGAAAATGCCATCATGTTCGTTACCAAACGCTTCACCACATCCACGCTGCCGGTATGCCCGAACCACAATTTGCTTGGTTATGTCGTCTGATATAAAGGAATCGGTTCAGCCAACATCTGCTGTACCTCGTCCGGAAGCCTGCATGCAAACTTCAATCCATCTCATCCTTGCTGTGCCAGATAAGGCCTCGGCACCAGCCCCTGCGACCCATTCGACACAACCTCAAAAGACGATGGAGGATTTCTCGCACTCTTGCCTTCCAGGTGTCACGCAATCCGTAAACAACCGCTACAAGGTTTAGAGTATAGAGACCCATATATCTCACTCTCAAAGCGATGTAACGGCGATCCAGATTCGAGGAGACTCGGTAGCCAACTCAACCAGAAACATCCTTCGGGAAGAGGCATCGACCATGCTCAAGAAATAGCACCGATCAGTCATATCAGGATACAGGTATCTCACATCCCACAAATCCTCCTTGAAACCAGAAGTGAAGTCTGGTTTTACAGCTCACCAACAGGTAAAGTCGTCCCTGACAATCTGTCGGCAATCAGATCAAGCCACGCCGCAAGCCGATAGCCAGCTTTAGCGACCTGGAGTTCGATGACAGGAGCAGCCTTCTCAAAGTACTCGCCCCCAAGCTCCTCGCCCACGATGGCCTCCGGTCCTTCTGGAAGCACTGCCCGAAATGCACGGATCAGCCCCCAAGCTCCCTGGCACAGAGGGAAAAGGGGACAAGGGATCGGGGATCTTACCGTGGGTGCAGATGTAGGAGTTGGACTCGTTGGCCCAAACCATCGATGTCGCGATGGGGTTATCGAGGATCATGCCCTCGGCCCAAGATTTGCTGGATGCCTGGTACTTGCCGGACTTGATCGCCTCGGTGAGGTTGGCGGCCCATTTGAAGGCGGCGTCGTAGGGCTTCCTGCGGTTGCCTCCTAGCATTTTCTCGGCGATGCTCGAATCCCACACGTGGTGCACTGTGTTGAGGTATTGTGTCAACAGTCAAGCACATCACAGGGCGAGTTTCGTTCTTGATGCGTGTTTTACAGACAGGGTGCCAGCCTCTCATTAGGTAAAGGGAGTTCTCATCCTGGCTCGTCGAAACAGAGACGTCCGAAGCAACAAATGCAGAGGGCATCGAAAGCGGGTACTCACGATTCAGCTCACTCGAGTCCCACTTCACGTGAATTGCATTCCCGCCCTGGGCGACGTTCTCAGCGTGCAGCGGCTGGTGGATATCGCCCACGAAGTGCACGACGAACTTGGCGGCCTGGTTGCGGCGCCAGGGCCACAGGCCGGCGTCGAGCAGCTGGGCGGTGTAGTTGGCCATGGCGCTGACGACGCAGCCGTCGGCCTTGCAGTCGCGGTCGAAGTCGACACCGCAGTAGCTTGGCGGCGCGTCCTTGGCGTCGATGAAGTGGAAGTCCTTGCTAAACCGGCCCCAGCGCGTGTAGCGGATGCTGTCGGCCCACGTCGCCACGCCCGCCAGGTAGTGCTCCGTGTCGTTGCGCAGCAGCTCCTGGAAGTAGGTCATCGTGGTGTCCTTGACGAAGTGACTGGCGATGTAGGCTACTGTGATGTGGCCGAGGCCTGCCCGTTTGGTGGTGTGTTAGTTTCGTGGGGGTTCTTGTAGGCACTTGGATGTGCTTGATGGTTGCTGGGTGTTACTCACTTCCCCATGCCACCGCACCCGGCAGAAATGTCGCGCCCAGGGCGAGGACGCCGTAGTCGAGTCTCATAACTTAAGCTGTCGTTCAGACTACTTGATGTAGCTGCACAGAACACCAAAATTAAATCAAAGAAGCTCAAGATAAGAGATCTAGTTGGAACTTTATAATCAGACTTTAGATGAATGGTTTACTATTCACACCAGCCCTAGGAAATAGACTCCAAGCGGACGTTCAACCAATTCACTACCCGCTCACCAGTCGCGCTGCATCGCTCCATCTATCTAGGCGCGATATGTGGCCGTTGGCAAGGGAACGTGACCAGGCGCCGACCCGCTTGATTCGCTGTGGGCGCGTCGCAGGTGACGCGACTACGGAGCGCGGCAGCGGGGTGCGAATGAGACAGACCGTGACAGACGCCCGTCCGTGACCTCCATACAATACCTCTGCTTATCATGATAGGGCAGAATCCAAGAAATACTCAGAGCCACTCAAGTTGCATGTGTCTACTCTTCCTCTAACTCGTGAGATTCAATGAGATGCTTGGTAAGTCTGGAATTGCGATCGGTGTCTGATTCGCAATTAAGTCTTGATGGCTCATTGAGTTTGAATGGCAGCGCCATAGCAGGCGGGCCCGGGAAATAACCTTCCATAGCCACCAGAGCCCCCACACCACCAATCTCCCACTGCAATCTTGCGCCCCGATAGCTTCACTCCCCCATTTCTCAACAACGGCATCGACAACGTGTAAATATTATTATATGAAATAATTTAAAATTACAAGCGCTTTTCTTAATCTCTTTAATATTTATATAATTTTATCGCGATTATAAGTACAGCGCTTGACAAAATTTATTATAATACCTTATAATAAGTTACAGTTTGATTTTTTTATAACATAACCTTTTTAATTGTAAAGCTTGTTGAGTTATTAAATAGTAGGTTTTTAACTTCTTTTATTTATGGGTAATATTTACTAGTAAAATAGCTATTAAAATAGTATAATAACTTTGTTTAATAACAAAAGCCTTTTATAAAAAGTATTTATATCATACTTTATTATAAAATTATACCAACTTTCAACAGTGTTTAAACCGTTCCGTTGAAAGTAAGGTTAAAGGTAATAATTAAATCATTTAAATTTTATAAAAGCTTATTTAAAGGTTATATAAAACCGTATAAAAGCTTAGTATATTATAACTGCGAACGTAATTAGCGGGTAAAAAGTCTTAAAATAACCTACAAGAAATAATAAAGAAAACTAACTTTTGATATTCCTCTTTTTAATATAAACAGTAATAAGTAATAAAAAACTAAAAATTAAAAGTAATTATGAGAAAAACCCTAATTATATAATCAAGGTAAAGATTTTACTTGATATAAAAGAAATTATCAATATAATCTTATAAAGTATTTTATTTATAAATAATATTTACTAATAAATCAAAGAGAAATTTCATAATAATTTTATTTAAGGGTAAAAGCTTTTTATAAAAATAACTATATCATATATTATTATAAAGCTATAATAACTTTTCAAGGTTTTTAAACCATACTGTTAAAATTAAGTTCAAGGTCTAATTAAGTCATTTAAAGGTTGTGTAAAGCTTTTTAAGGATTATATAAAGCCGTATAAAAGCTTAGTATATTATAGCTATAAACGTAGCTAGCGTATAAAAGGTTTTATTTTTTAATATATATATATTATCTAATATTATCAACTAAAAAGAATGAGGCGTTTTAGTATAGTATAATATTGAAATTATTTTCAGTTTAAAACCTTATTAATATATTATTATACGTTTAAATAAATTAAATAGCTTTAAATATCAAGGCCTATTTTAAAAGTGTTTATAACGTAGCTGATAAGCGAGTTAGCATTACAAGCGGGTTGGCACTCATCTTAAACCCCTTAACTGTCATGTGAAATAACTTCACCACAACGCATTCAATTCAATTCAATCAATCGGATTCCTCTTCTTTAGAGGTTTCTATCTCTATTATATAAGTTCGCGTATTATGGCCAGTATTGTCGCAAACGCCACACCGTCGCTCACGTGCTGCCGTCCTCCTTAGATGACGATTACCTTCACACATTTCCTGTCTTGCCAGCTCAGTACCATCTTTTGTAGCCTAAAGACTTATTATATCTTAAATAGAAAGTATTTCTTTCTTTATCAGACATTTGTTTTTTATTTTAGGTATTTATTTAAAAAGTGATTAGCCTCTTCTCGCTCGCGGACCCGGGAACCAACCAAAGTGACCTTGTGATTAAGACCATATATAGCCTTTGAAAACGAGCTCAACACATTAATTATTGATGTAAGTGAGCTTCACTGGTAGTTTGTGACTCGATTTTGAATATAAACTTACCGCTTTGTTAATGATGGTGGGCGTTTTTAAAGTCTAAGTAGAGGGTGGCAGATTAGTGTCTGGCAACAGTGTTCATACAATAGTGACAGCATCCAGCTTTGAAATGACACTTTCTGAGTCAAAAGGAACAAAATCAGTAATACTAAAACCTGCTCAAATGTTTTCTGGTATCATAGCAGCGTTATGTGCTTCATAAAACGCTGCAAGAAAGTCCTCCTTCAAAACATGGGTTATATGACGCCGGATGAGATCTTTAATTGAGTGATTATAAGCTCGTTTGAGCGGGCTAAAACAACTGACATCTAAAGGCTGGAATTTGTGTGACGAGTGGACAGGTATACAAAAAGTAATAATATCATTGTTCTAGTAATAACTCTCAAAGACCTGGGAATAGTGGTTTTTGTGACTATCTAGGATGAGAAGGCGTTTACCAGCAGTTATACACGGTCTGGTATACTAGTCAAAATACTGAATCTATTTCAAACTGATCTTATTTGTAGTTCATCTGTTGTCAGACACGGTTACCTTCTAATTGCATAATAATGTCATATCGCAATCCCATGACGCAAGGTGGGTTTTGCCCTATAGAATAATAAATAACGGGACCACCCTACCATTATTATTAATAGCAGAGATTACTATAGACCATTCTTTGTTGCCTTGCTGAGCTTGTCTAGGCCTGCCATTTCTTTTGGTGTTTGTGACGACTATACCAGACCCAATAATGCCTATCATAAATCCAGTCTTGTCAAAGTTATAAATGTCCATATCTTGGATGCCATGTTTTGCGATTATTGCCGCAACTTGGCAAGACCATGCGCGATACGCGTTTGGATCTTTGTTTAAAACCCTTGAGTGGTTCATCCTTCAATAAAAATGAGTCCAGAGGCCTGGTGTGCGTTTAATAAAGTTCTGCATCCAGTTTTTCCCAACGCGTTCAGCCCTATGTACGGCCAACAATTGATTCACCATATCTTCAACATAACTGTGCCAGGGTAGAAATTCTCACGCGTCCAGGTCAAGAATGAAGGAAATAATGGCATTCTCTTCGGAAACCGTAAGTTTCAAAGTATTGGGCATGCTGTCATGTCGTGATTGTGATGGTTCCACCATCTATCAGGTCTATCGATGGTCCCCATGGTCCCTGGGTCACGTGACTGAGTACGTGACTAATCGGACGATAGGTTGATTTATGCCATGGTGGGTCTGGTGAGGGACAACTGCACACATCTAGCTGCCCACCAATTTGGGTGCATCTCCAGATCTTTCTTTTCCTTTAACCAGAGTTCATCATACGTTAATAGTTAATAAGGGTCCCTGTATCCTTCCAATACAATTACGGAATTGTGACAGTGATGGCATTCCTTTGATTCTATTGCTCAAAGTAGAACGAGGGATGTTGAAGAGTTTCTCAAGCTGAAATATCAAAATATAAGGGTCACGTCGTTTAGCTTGTACAGCTAGCTGTAAGTCTGATTCGTTGTAACGCGGTGCCATTGTTGTTGGTGCATATATAATGGTTTGAATCATGTTGGTTGGAAAGTTCATGTCGAGTACCAACTCGCTTGTAATGCTAACTCGCTTGTCAGCTACGTTATATATATTATAATATGATTTAATTGAGGTATAAAAAGGTCGAATTTATAATAGATCTCAAAATTTTAATATAATCTCAACGGGCTTGATCGGGAAATTTAAGATAAAGGTAAAAGATCAGCTTTAAAGTATAAAAACTTAGTATTAATATGTTATAATATACAAAAAGAATATATTAAAAATTGTTTTATATATTAAAAATTTCCAACAAGTTTAATTAAAACATTAAAGCATAATAGTTAAAATCCGGTATATGGGTTTAAAACGTAAAGGCTTAAATTCTTAAATAAAAAAGGTTATACGCAAACTACATTACTTATATAAATGCCTAGTTACTACTTTTCTTCATACTTTTTTATACGCCTTATTAAACTTTATTATGAGCTCATTTACTTAAAAGTAATAAAACGGTAGTAAGAAATTAGGCTTAAAATAAATATTTTAAACCATTATTGATATATATTACCGTTTATAAACGGTTAAAGGCTATGTAATAAAACCTTATAATAAATTATCGTTATAATTTAAGTTTTACGCTTTTACATGTATTAAAATAACTCTTAATTATATCCGACGATTATTTATTAAAAACTTTATTTTCTGTTTTTGATAATTTAAAATTAAATACACGTTAAATAGTAATGCGGCAAAAACTATAGCCTTTTTTTGTACGTATCAAAAGAAATGTTTAAATCTGAAAAAATGCTAGCAAGGATTTGGAAAGCGTGCATTTTCATAAAAAGGTTTAAAACGGGTAAAAATAAAGGCTTTTCATTTTTAGTATAAGGAGGGTGCTTTTTTAATTTTGTAATTAACCTATATAATAAAGTAAGCATGTTCCGTTATTAGTAGCGAAAGTTAAACTAAGTATTTCTTTTATTTTTTATTAATATTACTAGTTTAAAATAATACCGTATGGTAATTTGTTAAGAAAGTAAGCTATTCATATAAAAATCGTAAACTTTTTTGCCGTACGTAAGTTTTTAAAGCAAAAGAAACTGCATAAATAAGTATTAAACGTTATATTTATAACTTTTATATCGTGTAAATATGTATTGTAAGTAGCTTTTTAATATCTTTAAAGTTTAATTTAAAGAATTCTA